AAAAAAAAAATAATAACTTTATGCAACTTTGGTTATTCAAAATATCAAAGAACGGAGCTGGCTCGGAGCTGACTCCGGAGCCAGCTCCAACAGGAAATATTTTAGCTCCAGCTTCGGCTCAGCTCCATGTAAAATCACGAGCTCCGGACAGCTCCAGGTCCGGCTCCAATTCAATGATGATATATAGATGCATCTGAAGCAAAGTTTAACATTCCTTTTATAAAATGTATTTGTAAAACCTTTGTCCTTAAAAATGTCCTGCACTGCACTAGTCCAATTTTTGAAATGACGAATAAAAAGTGAAAAGTAGAATGTTTTTTATGAATTTTTATGACTTTTATGTAAGTTTGCAATCCATGCATGGTTGGGTGAAAAGAAATGCAAAACCTTTGATATTTTTTTAACGGAAAAATATTTTTTAAAATTTTTTTTCAGGAAATAATAACTGATCTAAGGAGTATTTTATGTCTTTAAATTATATCTCACTTTCTTTTTATCAAAAAATTGAGATTGAGTTTCAAAAATGCATTTAACAGTCAAAAAAAACTTAAACTTTTTGCCATTTTGAATTTTTTTAATGGAAAACATGCACATACAAAATATCTATTTTTTACAAAAATAATTTTGAGAATCAACAAAACCATTCCAAAGTTATTGCATTTTTTGTCTTTTGATTTAAAAAAAAACAGTGACAACAGGAATTGCTCGTAGCAGCTAAAGGAGTAATCGAATCAAAAAATCCTTGAGATACCTTTTAGATAAAGGGTTGAAGAATTTTTTGATAAGTATTTAAATTATTTTCCTCAACTGGAAGTTGGTGTAATAACCAGCTCAAAAAGTGACTCACTGCGTACATTCAGCAGATGTTGTTGAAGATTTTCCCAGGGACTACTAAAATACCGGGACATGCAACTTCGATTTCATGCGATTTTGACGAGAGGGCTGAAATTGAATATGTTTGAAAAATTTTATAGAAGTTTAACATTTACTTGGTTTTGATACTAATATTAACAGTTTGATACTAATATTAACAGTTATTCAGAGTTATGTTTTGTTTCTCATGGAATAACATCTTAATCTCATAACTCATTAAATTTTTGTCAATTTATAGCAAATAAGGAATCTTATTTTTGTAAGACCTGGATTAGTTACTTTAATCTTTAACTAGTTTAGTAATGTGTCTATACACTGGAACTGCATCTCTGCATTAGGTAATAAAATAAAAAGAGAATACGCATATCTGACATATTGAAATAGATCCAGTAGGGTGACATAGTCGACCACAAGAAACCAACTCAGTACACTCAGATACATTGGTAACAAAGCTACCAGATACGAATATACTTGGTGAAAATTTATGCTGGACATAACCCGAAATGTAATATAGGGCAGCATTTTCTTCTTCAGGTATTGCATCAATTGAAGAGACAGACATATCAAGATAACTAATGTTATCCTCATTCAGATCTAATTGACAACACTCTGATTGAATAATTGAACATTGAGATATAGATATACCCATAGCATCCAATTTACTAAACAATTTCAGGTGTTGTAAACGGAGACTATTTTTAACTTCTTCAACCGAAACATGATAACTGCCTCCACAAAGTTGCCTGGCATAAAAAAAATAAACTTATATAGTTTGAATTTTATTTAAAGAAACATATGAAAATTAGTGTTCTTAAATGCAGGGTCAGAAGGGGTTGGGAGGGATTTACCCCAGAGCCTCTGCCACAAAATAATATATATAAATTAATAATAATTATTTATATTTTAAGTACATCAATTTTGCAAAGACAATACAACAAATATCCTAGTTATTTCTATGAAATAACATTTTTGATGTTACAAAATAGCAAAGTTATTTCTACTTATAACCAAAAACTATACAATTAAGGATTTAGTTTATTTTTTGCCCCCGGGCCCTTCAGTGCCAGTCCGACCCTGCTTAAATGTAATAATAACAATATCAATCTGATCATAAATATGTAAGAAATTATTTAATTACCTGTATATTTCAAATTCTCCTTCTAACCGATCTGTCTGAAATATTCCAGGAAGAACATATTGATGATCTTCATTCAGCAATTTTTGGATTAAATCTACAATTTCATAAAGCATACTCGACAGAGAAATTTTAGTTTCACTAGTGAATGATTTATTCTGCTTCCAGCCCTTTTCTCCTGGCATTTTTGCAACAGCTTCAGCAAATGTCAAAATCTCTTGAAGTTGTTTATCATTTACATTTTTGTATGAAGCTCTATTTGGATCGTTTAAACGTATGTCCATACCTTCTTGTTTAATATTAAGATAATTCCACAATCTTCCCACAAATGCTACGATTTGTGGGAAGATTGTCTGAAATTAGGCATAAAATTTCTCCACCAAGTTTAGCGTCTGTCTGTGTGATTTCAACAATTAAATTTTGTACAAAATGCCAGATAGCTTATAAACTGGCGCCATACTACACACAAAAGCTGGTTTTCCAAACATTGGCTTAATCATAAAACAAAGAATTGTCTTGGCAGTTTCAGCAGGATTGTCTTCACTATAACCAATTAAATGACATCCACGAATATGTATACTTGGTTTCACATACATTTCATCAAATAGCAGGCAGCAGTATTTTTCCAAAAATAGTTAATGTTTCAAACACGGTTTTAATACATTCTTCACATTCCTTTTGTGTTCCTACATTACCGGTTCTGCCTAATTTTAGTTTGAGAGTTCTTGGATGTAGGAGTGAAAGTGTATCACAAAGAATTCGATAACAGCATCTTGATGAAAGGTATAGTTCTAAAGCTCGTCGTACAACTAGCATAGAATAACATTTACCTCTTAAAGTCATCATCTGCAGTTGCAGTTGTTCAATCAAAAATATATATCATCGGATTTATCTCCATATGTACATTCAATCTCTTGCAATAAATGTTTTAGTTCCTCGCTTAATTCAGGTTATATGACTTCATTCTTGAAATAATTACTTCTAACTGCGACCACCATGTGAGTTTGCGAGAAAACCCTAAAATATCATTGCAATGAATTGTGTGTTTGATATAAGCACGTAACTGTTGAGTATGAGTTTTGATTGTAACATAAATATTAGTTTCTGGTCAACGCAAAAATGTCATATTAAAAACAGTCAGATCCGATGCATTTGTAACAACAAAATAATCAGGAAACCTTGAAATTTTTAAAAGAATTATTTTATTAGTAATACTAACAAAAAAAATCCTACAAAAGTTTTATTTAATTATAACTTTTCTTACTGCTGCTTTACATCTGTAAGAAACTGTTTGATTTCAAAAATTTTTATTTTATCAATCTTGTTGAAAGAATCAAGTTCATCACAGAATGAGTTTCTTGATTCAATTGAAATTTTTTCAAAATTTGTTTGACGGAATGTTTTGCCTGTTTGTCGTAACATTGAAGGAAAACACCCAGGAAATAGTAAAGGAGGATCTGATGGAATCTAAAAAGTTTCCATTGATTTTAGATTATCTGTTTAATTTGAAATAGATAAAGCTTACAAGTATAACTACAAAATTTATTTGAAATTTTTGTTTATATATTTGAACTCGACTCACCTGATATTTAGATCTTTTTGGATAGTGCATACTACATCCCAAAGGCCAGTGCTTTTTACAAACACCCATGTTGTCTGTTGGCGATTGAATTTTATTTGGTAAAGCTGCTAACCATCTTCCACATAATTCTTTGTCACTTGAAAATTTGTAAACTTTAACATGCTCATTTTTACTGTCATAATTTCCACGACAATTACCTACTGAGCATTTTTTATGCATGTCTGTAATGGTTTTATAAATTTATTTTAAAACAGAGAATAAAATTAATTTTTTTTAAATATTATAACCTTAAAAATAGGTTTAGTTTAGTACAATAATAATTTAAGATCCTTATGTTTTTTTAGTACTAAACTTTAATAAGTACTAAAAAAGTTACTTTAGTCTAAAGTAATTGATTTGCATCAAAATGTCATTATACTCAAAATCAAATCAAATCTTCGTACGATAGTATGTTACTGTTGTTCATTTTTTATCATAAAATATTTAAGTAGTTATATTTATGATTACAATGCAATCATCATATAAACATCTTAATAAAAATACTTTTACTACTTTAAAAGTACTATAAAAAGGTTTAAAAAATATAAATTAATTAAAGTTAGTACATTATATAATCCAAATGAATCAACATTTGTTGCAGCTTATCAATAATCTTTAAGTACCAGTCGGCCCTCTTGTCGATTTCACATCGATTCAATGTCGTACGTCCTGGACTTTAAGTAGTCCCTGGACTTTAAGTTTTAAGACTTTAAGTTCCTTTTCAAAAGTCTCAAGAGCCTAACTAACTTCTGAGATAAAATTTGGTAAATGTGAATTATGGAGTTTAGCATTAGTCAGCATCTTTTTACATTGATTTCTTGCAATAATATATATGTTAGAAAACTTGTTTTCATTCTATTTAGTAGACCATTTTATCAGTCTTGTTTTGAAAAAATTTGTACATTTTTTCTTAACCTAAGTACAAATATTTTTATTTGGAAAATCCCCATACAATATATTTGTATTTAGAAATCTAGAATTAACATATTTGTTTTTGTATTTGAATTTGATAAAATGTGTTTAGCCCCACCCCTGATAGTGTATAACACTTTGAGCAATAAGCTATGCAGTCGCCTTATTCCCGCTAATTAACCAAAAGTCATATCAAAGGGCTCCATGTGTGGCCTCACCAGTTCACATCATAAACACTAGCACTAATTTTTTGCTTATCCTAAATGCTTTTTTAGCTTTTAACACATTTTCATGCTCAACCTCAATCAAATCAAGTTCAACATTTTTTATGAGAAACCATCTCTAGTCTTTACTCAACCAAGAGTCTTAAAGCAGAAGGTGTTTTCGAGGGTGTTAGTTTGTCTGATCTGAAAACCTAAGTTTTTAAATTATCATAAGTTTTTTTTTATTTAACTTTAGTAAAATATTAATTGATACTGGAAGTGAAAATGTGCCAGAATATTTATCAATGTTAAAAGAAGCTTTGGATGGTGGGGCAATTCAAGAAATTATACTTACACATTACCATCATGACCATGTTGGTGGAACGCCTGGTGTTCTGAAACTAATGCAAAGTACAAAAAGATTTTTTTATTGATTGGTCAATTAATTTTATTAGTTGTAACAGTTATTGTAACAAAAATTGAGTATTTTTTTCTATTTTAACTTTTGTTGTCGTTTCTTAAAGATTACAAGCTACCATTACTGAAGTTTTTTCATGATTCGGATAAAGAGTTTCAAAGAGCAAATCCTAATATTACTTTTACACATGTTAAAGATAGACACATATTCTCTACAGAAGGAGCAACTCTTGAAGCAATTTTTACACCTGGTCATTCATCAGACCATATGGCATTGTTTTTAAAAGAAGAAAATACACTGTTTACTGGAGATTGCATTTTAGGACAAGGAACAGCAGTAAGCATTTTAATCCAAAATTAAAGTTTATATGTATATTAGAGTCATAGTTAAAGGAATTTCTTATTGAGGTGCTGGATCAATAAGAAAATTATGCCCCTTCATAACATTAAAAAAAAATTAAAAAATAAATAAAAACAATTGATTTAAAGCTAATTTGTTATGTATTTCAATTAAAAACATAAATTGTCTTTTCTGGGTTTTAAAGATTTGAAGTTACTTTTTTCCGATGACTATGTATAAACCCATCAGATTTATTACTTTAAAATTTGATATCATTTATTTTTATTAAAATTTCAAGCAATAAATCTCTAATCTGCAAGTCTAAATCATCTTGACAGATTATTCACAATTTTTGAACAGAAAAGTATGATAACTTTACTATTTGTTTTTCTCATGATTAATATAATTCTATAAATCATGTATCAAATCAATATTCAATAGATGATCTCAAAAATTGCTGTTTGCTACAAAAAGAGACTGCCCTTTTTTGTTGCAAATAGCATTTTCTGTCATCATAACTATTCTCATTATCAGGATTTCATGAATTATTGCTAAATCATTTAGGTACATCAGTATACAAATGATACTGTATCATCATCAGTATCCAAAAAATTAACTATAATCACTAAAGTGTATTAGTATTTTCTAAGTATGATTTAACCAGAGATGTAGGTCTCAAAACTTTAATCTTGGTCGGGAGATGTCTCGAGACTCATTTAACTATCTTGGTCTTGAAAGCCTGGAGAATTGGTCTTGATCTTGGTCTTGAACCTTTATTGTCAACACTATTGATTAGTAATTGTTAATAAATTGTTACTACTAAGAGTAACATGTTATAAAAGTTATGAAATCAAGTGATACATAGTTGTCTGTTTTACTTCTTACATAAAATACTTAAATAAAATATGTAAACTTTATTTAAATTTTTTTTTCGTAACTTTAGTATATGTCTAATATAGTTACCGAAAGAAAACAACCTTGTCGTTATCTATTGAAGGTTGCAACAGTTTTTTGCACAATAAACATAATTATATTATACATGTATACATTTGCGATAACATAATTGTATTATACCTTTTATTATAGAGTAATGAGTATAAATGATAAAATGATACATCAGCTAAAAGTCTAATAGTATACACACATGTTTGAGCATGAGTATTATGTGTTGAACTTCTAAAAGTCTTCATTCTGGTCTTGTGAAAATTAAAGTTTTAACTGGGTCTTGGTTTGACTATTTGTTGTCTTGGTATTGGTCTTGAAGTCTTGATTTTGAGCCCAAATGTCTCGGACTTTGTCTTGATCTTGACCTTTACTGTCTTGACTACATCTCTAGATTTGACCATGATTTTGGAACATTATTATTAGGGGTGTACTATTGTACAAATATTTGCAGTATAACATTGCAATTGATTTTAGCTTTTAAGACTACAATAAATCTTAATTGTTAGAAATAATCAGAAATAGAATTTATTTTAAATCCATTTTAAATTTCCAAAAAATTTAAAACAGATTTATATTAAATTTTCATCTTTTCAAAAACAAAAATATGTTAGCATCAAGTATGCAAAAAACTTTACAAAATTTTTTTTACAACACCATAGTAATTAAAAATGTTTTAGGATGTAGGCTATCTTGCATAAATAGAAAAAGTTATATATTACACATATAATCCATGTTCTACTTGTAATTTTAACACAAACCATATAAGATTAATTTTTATTTAAGAAATTATTTGTAAAATGGTAATACGTGAATTTCCTAGTTAAATATGCTGCTAGCATGGATTGTGATTTGACTGAAAGAAATTCTTACAACACCTCACTTTTCACCAAAAAAAACTGTATTACATAATATAGTTCTAATATTATTAAATATTAATTTATAAATAATATTATTAATTCAAACTAAATACCATTACTAAAATTTAGAAATGTGGTTTGCATCAAAACTCAGAGTAGAGCATGGATTCTAATTCATGCCTAATATTCAATTTTTTCTATTGCTATCAATGTAAAGTTATATTAGCCAAAAGTTGCTGCAAGGGGTAATTCTTGTCCAATTTTGTTAATCTTGGTCTCATTTTTTAGTTTTCTTATAACTAATATAGAATAGTTATATTTCTGAAAAAAGTTATTTTCACCCCACCCTAATGATAATATTTAAAAAAAAAAAGAAAGAGACAACCTTACGGTGATTGTAAAATGGCTCAAGGATGGCAGATAAAGCAAGTCTAACTACATTTACAATGGGCTTTTGGACCTTGTCTGAGAGTGAGAGGATTGTTATTCGTCAACAATATTATCGCCAGTATAGGGATGTCAACAATATTATGATGATTGTTTGCAGTAAATAGAGTTTTTTTTGGAGTTAATCCCACAAGCCACTGCAAGTTCAAACCCCAAGCTGTTATAGAAAAGTAATCAGAGTAAAGATTGGCTTCTTGTTTGAAGCAATTAATAAGTAAAGACTTTTTATCAAGGCAAGAGTATAAAGTTGAGTTGTCAGCAAATAGAGCCATATTAGATGTAAGATTGGCAAAAAGATTGTTATTGTAGATCAGAAAGAATGTAAGAGCAAAGAACATTGCAATTGTAACCATTCTTATTTCCAGTAACCCTCAAAATTATTGGAAATGAAGACTTTTGTAAGACTATAATGGAAACGTTGTGTGAACTACAAGCCAAAGAAGAGTTTAATTGAGAATTGACTTTAGCATCAGAAGCCGAAGTGATTTAGATGCCTAACAATAGGTTAATCTGTTTAACTGAAGTGTTAAGAAGAATATGACCATTAGATTCAGTAGTAAAATTAGACGAAAAACTTCTTTGCAAATAGCTCTGCCTTTTTTTGGGTGAAAGTAATAAGATCAAACCCATGAATTAGAGATGGAATGTTAGACTTACTTTAGGTAATGAAACTAATGAAGATTTTCTAAAAGTCTCTAGAACCTAACATCTGATATTCAAGATTTTGTAAACTGTGAATAACTTAGCATCAGACTGGAACTTTTTTACATTGACTTCTTGCAATAATAAAAAGACATTTGTTCTCAAAAGAGATGTTCTTTTAAAAAAGATGAAAAAATAGTTATAGTTTAATATAGCAACTGCACAAGGTGGTGAAAAAACATGAGTAGAATTAATTTGACTTAAAACCTACGAGATGGAATAAAAGCTTACATACCTGCTTGGATCCAGGAGGTTATGTAAGAGGTTATATTGATATAATGTATGCATTTATGCATACATTATATCAATATATATAGATATAAACATATATATTTGCTATTTATTGAGATGCTGGTATACAATATTTTTATATATTTATATAAACTTATTTATATGGTGTAGTACTTGTGAATGTGTGGTATGACTCTAGCAAGACAAGAAAAGGAGTCATAATGTTTTTTAAAATGATTAAATTGATTTGACCATAAAGAGAGGTAGTAGCTTCAGAAGAAAATAGTAGAGGAAGAAGTAAGAAAGCTTGCAGAGAATGCATTACATAGGGTATGAACACGTTAAGGAAAGAAAAAATTAATGTAATATGAATTTCTAATAAAAAAACAAATTACTGTGCTTATTCTGGAATACTCCAGAATGGGCAGAATAATTCCATTAATGGACAAGTTAACTCCAGGATTGGGTAGGTTAATTTTATTGATGGGTAGATTAACTACATTAAATGGTCAGGCTAACTTCATCAATGAATAGGTTAATTTCATTGATAAGCATTAGATTTATCGACTAAAAGTTTAACTCAATCCAAAAATGAACAATAAATTAATACTTTTATATTTTGTTATTTTAAAATTTTAGATTAAAAAATTAGTACTCTTTGATATTAAAAAATGCACATCTTTTAAAAACCAGAACATATTTTATTTATTCTGTTAAAGATTACCAAAAGTAGAAAAATTTTGAAAAGTTGACTTAATCACATTGGCTTCTGAATGGCTCATATATTAAAAAATCCAAATTGAAAAGCAAAGTAAATTTTCATTTTTACTTGCATCATTTTTATTTTATAAAATAGAATTTTTTTAAACAAAATTAAAAAGAATAAATAACTGATAAAATTTTTATGATGTTTTAATGAAATATATTTAATTTAAAAATTTTATGTTTCATTTTGAATTATAAATTTTAACTATAATTATATTTTATATAAAATTATAATTAATAATAAGTTAAGAAAATTATAAATTTTAGTTATGATTTTTAATCTATTTGTTCAGGTTTTCACTGATCTACATGATTATATGAGATCACTTGAAAAACTTCTTTCATTCAAAGCAGATGTTATTTATCCAGGTCATGGTCCTGTTATTAGTAATCCTCAGAACAAAATTAAAGAGTACATTGATCATCGGAATATGCGTGAAGCTCAGGTAATTTTCACATATGAAAGCTATTTTTGAGATCATTTTAACATATGAGTTCATTTATTAGTTTTTCAAGATATTTGAACTTATACTTATTTGAGTAATTTAAAATTTACTCAAAGAAGTATTGTTTTTATAAGTATCTCTTAAAGCTTCTTTTTTTTAAGGCAATTTATTTATTGATTTTACAGTTGTTTTTTCTTCTTTTTTTTTCTCGTTTTTTAATAATGTTATTTATCTCCTCACGGCTGAGGTATTAATTATAGTCATTGAGGCAACTTTAACAAAAAAATTTTTTTTTACTGAGCCAAAATTAATATAGTTTATATAGATGTTGTTTACTTTATAAAAATATTTTTTAATTTAAGATTTTTTCGGTCCTTAAAGATAAAAAGTATGGAGAGTATATATCATCAATTCAAATTGTTAAAGAAGTTTATCCGGTAAACTAAATTTCACATTTTAATGATTTATTTTGAGAACACTAAAAAAAGATTTTTGGTTTGTAAAAAAAGATTTTTGGTTTAGGAGTTATCACCTATGCTTGAAATGATGGCTAATGAAAATGTGAATCATCATTTAAAAAAACTTGAAAAAGAAAATAAAGTTGGTAATGAACTAGTTTTTGTTAAATTATTTAAAAAAGTTGTTTTGTAAGCATGTGATGAAAGTTTTTTAAACACAATTAAAATATATAAATATATATATATATATATATATATATATATATATATATATATATATATATATATATATATATATATATATATATATATATATATATATATATATATATATAAAACTATATTTTTTTAAAATTATTTTTTTAAAGCTTGAAATCTATACTGATGATCAGAAAGAAAGTTGTTAGATTAAAGATGAGAGATTCAGTGTTTGTTAATTAAAGATTCATAAGCCTTGCTTATGATAGTAAGAAGACTAATTAGACAGTAGTTAGACGAGTCAATTTGACATTTTGAAAATAGGGATTATTTCCAGTAGGCTGGAAAGCAAGACTTTGATAAGCATTAGTTAAATAGTTTTGAAAGTATAAATGGCATCTCTGGAGAACACTTCTCCAGAGCTATAACAGGTTGTTGTCCGGACCACTAGCTGTAGAAGAGTTTAAACAGGAAATCACTTTAAGTACAGAAGCTAGAGCGATATGAATGTCAAGCAATGGATCAAACTGTTTGTCGGCTATATCAGGTAGGATTTAATTAGTGAGATCAAGAGGTGAGATTGATGAAAAAATGAGGTAACAAAAGCTGAACCATGCAAGAGAGGTGGAATAACATATTTCCTCTTATTACAGACATTCTTAAAGATTTTCCTGAAGTCTTGGGAGCCTAATTTTTGAGATGAAATACGAGATTTTGTGACCTGAGAATAGCGAGCTTTGCCATTAACAAGAAATGGTTCCAAATAAATGCAATTAATTTACTTGCCTCATAGCCAAGCAAATCTGTCTAAATATTGTGATTCTCGCATGGTATAAAAACGTTTGGATAAAAAGTATTCTTAGGAGTTTGGGACAAATAAAAATATTTTTTATTCAAAAAATTTCAAAAATAGTTTATATGTTACTACTTTAGTTTTTATTGTATAAAAACTAAAGTAGTAACAAAACTATATATATTTTTATATAAAAATAAATTTAAAAAAAATATTGCTTTGAAATTGATAGATTGTCCATCCAAACCAAAACCCTCAACCAATGCATGTTCTACCTATTTGTCAGTCGATGTTCGAACACTCCTTCGATGTTTGTACACTCCTTGCAAAATAAATGATTACTACTTTAATGTAGTAATCATTTTATACTTTATTAAAGTAGTAATCATTTTATACTTTAGTATAAAATGATTACTACTTTTGTTACTACTTTAGTTTTGTTACTTTTTTAGTTTTTATTGTATAAAAACTATCGTTTTTATACAATAAAAACTAAAAAAATTTATTTAAAAAAACTGTTAAGGTTTTTTACAAATTTTTCAATAAATTTTTGACAAGTTTCCATGAAATAATATTTTATAAAATTTGTCTATAAATTAGGGATGTACCGGAATTCCGGCCAGAAATTGTGACTTTTAGGTCATTTCGGTTCCGGCCGGAGTTATAATATTTCAGGTCGGAATGCCAAAACTTATTTTTTACTTTATTTGTGACACAGACTGTGTAAATTAAATCAAAAAGTCATTGGCCTACAGGGCAATGAAGAACTATGGGTAAACCTAGGTAAAAAATTCAAAATTCTTAACAAATACAATGTAATTTTAGAGAAAGCTACAGTTTAGCGCTCTAAGATAATTTTATTTTTTCGCTTGTTTGTTCTCGTTAATGGAGAGTTTTTAAACATTAGAAATTTTAATTGAAATAATAAAAGAAAAAAAAGTTGCTGCCCTATGCCAAATCCTCAGTCAATGTAGCAGCACTTTCTTGTAGAAGCAGGCTATAAGATAGTCGATGTATGTACCAAAGCCAATAAATATTCTTTTAGTTTAAAAGAATATTCATATATATTAAAAAGTGGACTTCATATATATTAAAAAGCGCAACAACCGAGAAAATAAAATTATTTTAGTCCTCTTAACTCTAGCTTTGCCTATATATATATATATATATATATATATATATATATATATATATATATATATATATATATATATATATATATATATATATATATATATATATATATATATATATATATATGATGCTGAGGTGCAGGCTTTCACTTTCAATCTTGAAGGTAAAAAACTGCATAAATATAAATCTTGTTCCGGCCGGAATTTTTTCAACGATTCCGGGAAATCCGGTTCCGGACGGAATTCAAAATTTCTAATCTGGTGCACCTGTAATCTGGTAAAATTTTATTTTTAAAAATCTGGTATAAATTTATTTTTAAAAAATTAACTTTTTTTAATATAAAAATGTAAAAAAAAATAAATTGTTTTAATCAAAAAGATAGTTTTACTTGCTAAAAGAAGAAAAATTTAATAAAAATTTCAAAAATAGTCATATTGTCGGCTCGGGATGCAATTGTCGTATCGCAAATTTATTAAAATTATATATAAATATGTAATAACGTAATTTATGTAAGTTTAAAGTTATGTAAATGTAAAAAATTATTTAATATAAATTATTTAATATAACGTTTTAAAAAAAAACTTTTTTCATTAATATATGATGTTAAATTTACATATATTAGATAATTACATATTTATATATAACTTTAATAAATTTGCGATACGACAATTGCATCCTGAGCCAACGGTATGCTGTTTTATAAAACTTTCATAAAGTTTTGCTTATTTTGAGTACCAGGTTGACATTTCTTAAAACAGTATTAGGAACATGTTAAACATTCGAGGGTCACCCCTAAAAATATTTTCTTTTCGAAAATTTTCACACCATCTAATTAAGGTCAGAAAAAAGCTCCCCTTTTTCTGTTTGATTCGTGAAACAAAATTTTTTACGGTTTGATCTACTCTAATAACACAGGTTAACAACAACAACAAAATTTTCTGTTGCCGAGCAAACAATTAGTTTTTTTATAGCATTTCTCATTTTGATTTTAAATATCCAACTCATTTTTCACCATCACGTCAAGTTGTAAAGATATTTGGGTTTAAATCTTGAGTATTTAAGGTAAAATTCCTAATATTGTCGAAAAAAAAGTTATTCAAAAGTATGTCAACCTGGATCTCAAAAGAAGCGTATTTTCATAGAAATTACAAAAATGTTATTCGTTTGTTCTAAGAGTTCTAAGCATTTTTTAACATAATTTTTTTGTCAATATGTTTTAAGTAAAAATATTAATGTTTTCTAAAATCTCTATAGCATACTTTTGAAAAAAAAATTTTATTACAATATTAGGGACTTAACGCCGAATACTAAAGATTTGAACCCAAATATCTTTACAACTTGACGTGGAAACTTGGTGAAAAATGTTGTTGACCTGTGTAATTATATATGTATGTATGTATGTATGTATATATATATATATATACATACGTATATATATATATATATATATATATATATATATATATATATATATATATATATATATATATATATATATATATATATATATATATATATATATATATTATATATTTATATATATATATTTATATATATATATTTATATATTTATATATATATATATATATATAATATATAATATATACAATTACTTTAATTACCTTAGTTACTAATTTAGTTACTTTAGTTACTAATTCAATTACTTTAGTTACTAATGGCACTGGATGGATGGTAAAAGGAGTATCGGCTTCTTTGTAAAACCACCGGTTAATCGTTTTATTGAGTTTTTTGAATTTTTATTTTTTTAAATTAGTTTATAAAATGTTGTAAAAAAAATATATATATATTATTTTTGTATTTATTTTATGTTTAAAAACAAATGTTTAATCGTTAAAAAAAAAATCAGATCAGAGAATTTAACTAGTGATGGTAACCAACGTATTTGTCCGTATCCATTGTCTTGTACAATTTGTTCTATAATTTCCATTCATTCATGTACAATTTATTTTACAAGTCTAAAATTGAAAGTCCTTTTTAATTAGTTTGCCAAACTTTTTCTATTTTGCCCCGTCTTCCCCTAACATATTTTACTAAGTAAATTCGACTTTTCCCGTTATTATTTTTTATTATTTAACTATTTCAAATCCATTTTTTGAAAGAATCAGGCTGTCAGTGGTGACCCCCTCAAAATTTTTTGAAGTTTTAGTATATTAATCAGAATACAGGGAAAATCTGTTAAGGAAAAGAAAAAATTCCGAAAACTATTTGTTTAAAATTTGGAATTTAGCTTCAAAATTTGAAAGTTTGTCAGAAATTTTTAACACCTTTAACTTCATTTTTTGGCTAGACAAAAATTTTTTAACTTTTGTAGTTAATATCAAAAGTAAACCAATAGCTCTTGAAAAAATATTAAAAAGTTGCGGGACACTGCAGAGGCGGATCTAGGATTTATTTCTTTGGCGAAATTTTGTTGTATAAATATCCCCCTCCTCCTCCCCTAACCAGTCTCACAACCCCATCCCCTTTCATGCACTACTACTGTCAGGTGCCAAAGAAACACCCCTACCAATTTATGAACTGTGAATTTTTTTCCATCTACACGAATTCATATTTTCGAAAATTTCTCACTTCACCTTATTTATTATGACCTCCCTCCCTGTTTACTTTGCACACGAGTGTTTTATGACTGAGTTAAATTTTTTTATTGTTTGTTCAAAATCCTTACTAAATTTGGGTCATTATCTTTTCTATATAAGTCCATAAATTTAAATTGAATTGAAATTATACTTATATCTCATTCTTGAAATCCACACTGTACACTACTAAAAGTAATCAAAACAATTTTAATATTGAAAATTAATTTTAAAATGACTCTTATAACCTGAATATTACTACTCTCTGAACACAAATAGTACAGTCAAATTTTTATTTATTAAGTATAACCTAAGTTCAGAATATATGCTGATGCTTCACTTCACAGTATAACGGTTGAAAGAGAATCTGTCTGGAGGGGATTTGTTTAAAGCACATAAACCACGTCAAGATTCCTTCCTACTCATGTGTACAATTTTTTATGCAGAACGATTTAAGGCATATGACAGAAAAATACACCATCAATTAACAAATATGCTTTTTCCTGTATTCACTTTTATTCCTGTATTATATAAAAAATATAATATATTATAGCAATGTGCAGTAGTGGATCAAGACTTTTTGGGGCCCATGATTTTATTAAAGCCTCTATCCATGATTTCCTTTCCTTTTTCATTTCCTGTTTTAAAGCCTCTTTCCATGATAAATTAAAAAAAATATTTTCAGTGTCTCTTTTAAAAAAATATTTTTCTATGAATCAAAGCCAAAACTGTGGGGCCTATAGTGTATAGGGCCTATGTGGGGCTATAGCACTGGCAAAATAACTCCAGAAGGAAATATGCAAATGTTTTTAAAATTTTAAAATGTTTTTAAAAAATATACTGAGCACAACCCACATTTTTAGATAAATAACAGATTAAGATAATGCAATTTACAAAACTTTATTAAAAGAAGATTTTTAGTTACTACTGCTAATTATACCATTAAATTTTAAGTCTTGGAATAAAACATCGCATTAACATACAATTCTATTGATGTAAGAACTCGTAAAACACCAACTAGCAAATACTTAAACGCAATAACAATAGCTAACCATACTAAACTATAGCAGCAGTTACCAGATTTTATTTAAAATAAATTCAAATAATACAAACAAAACGTTTACAAACAAACCCTACAATCCTTTAATTTTTTTTTTTTTAATAAATTAGGCCAGGTAATAAATTATGAATAATTGAAAAAATAAAAATCTTAGACGGTGCTTAAAACTTCTAAATTTTTGCACCAACCATCAACTGTATAATTTAAATAAAGCTTATTAATCAAAAAATAAACATAACTGTCAGTTACTGCTAGGCAACAAGCTTTAGGCAACATCAATCAGTTGCATATTTTCTGGAAAAAGTGTTGCTTATATGTGGGAAAATGTGTGAAGATATATGTGGAAATATATGTGCTTATATGTGGAAAATATATGTGCTAATATGTGAAAATATATGTGCTATTAATATATGTGCTATTATATATGTGCTAATATGTGGAAAAATATGTGCTTATATGTGGAAAAAGTGTTGCTTATTTCTAGAAAAAGTGTTGCTTATATTGACATCATGCAAAATCTATATTTACAAAAATGTTTACATATACAAACATCACAACAGCAATATTACAAAACTATGCTAGCAATTTGTACTTTACTAAGACTAACATATATTTTTATAATAATACTATAAAAACGTATGCCTGTAAATTACAAACTGTCAGCATGGTTATGTAATATTGCTGTTGTGATGTATATATATAAGGTTGCCATACGTCCGGCTTTTGCGGAGGAGAATACCGCGCCATATATATATATATATATATATATATATATATATATATATATATATATATATATATATATATATATATTTGAGAAAAATACTAGGTTAGTTGAAAAGTTCGCGGAGTGAAGACTCGTTGATAGGTCTACAATTTCGACTGTATTCAAGGTCACATGCTTCTAATGAACGCATGTGCAAATTTCAACTCGTAATAACTTGTCAGTGTGTTTTTATGACGCTTTGATGTTAGACGTGTCAACATAATTAAATCAAGGAAAAAATTGAACATCGTGCGGTAACAAATTTTTTAGTGAAATACGGTTTGTAGGCGATGGAAGTTTATAGTGAAACGGTGAATGTGTTGGGGAATACTGTTCCATCTAAAACAATAGTCTGTAAGTGGGCATTAGAATTTAAACGTGGTCGCACAAGCCTAAAGATAATCCTCGTTCAGGACGTCGAAAAAGTGTAACTTCTGAAGAAATGATTGATACCATTCACAATATGGTTATGAATGACGCAACGTTAAACTTGAGTGAGATTTCTGAGACCGTGAATATCTCAACTGAGCGAGTACTTCATATTTTGAAAGATGTGCTAGGCCTCAGAAAGCTGAGGACTAGCACATCTTTGTGATTAAAAACAATTTCGAGTGAATCTTTCTAAGAAACATTTGAAGCTTTTTTAAAAAAATAAAAATAATTTTTACGTCGTTTCGTCACTATGGATGAAACCTGGGTGTACCACAATGAGCCCAAGCTGTGACAACAAACCTCAGAGTGGACTGAGCCTGGTTGTTCAGCTTCAAAACAATCAAAATGGTCCAAATCATCCAAAAAGGTTATGGCATCTGTTTTCTGGGATGCAAAGGGCATTTTGTTGATCGATTATCTTCAAACCGATAAAATCATAGTAGGAGAGTATTCAAATCTGTTGGATAATTTAAATTCAAAAATTAAAAAAAAAAGAGACCTGGTTTGAAGAAGAAAAAAATCCTTTTCCATCAAGACAACGCGCCAGCACACAAATGTGTTCAAACAATGGCCAAATTGAACAAATTATGGTATGAATTGATCAAACATCCGTCTTACTCTGCCAATCTAGCCCTTTCGGACTTCCATCTATTTCCAAGTTTAAAAAACTTTTTCCGTGGAAAGCGTTTTTCCTCAAATGAAGAAGTTATAGCGACTGTGAACCAATATTTTGACGAGCTTCCAGAAAACTATTTTAGAGATGGTATAAATAAATTGGAAAATCGTTGGAAAAAATGTATTGATGTTTGAGAGTGATTTACACTGAAGACTAAAGGTATTTTTTTAGTTATTCTTTTTTTTTTTTATCCCCGCTGCGCGAACTTTTCAACTAACCTAGTATATTTATTTACATATACAAACATAACAGCAGCATTATCACAAAACTATGCTAGCAGTTTGTAATTCACTTAGCCAAGCATATGTTTTTATAATGTAACAAAAAAAAAATTATTGTTTAATTTTTGCAAATTCATAAAACTCCAGATAAAGCAACAAATTATATTCATTGAAGATAATTTGCTACATTATTGCATAATGCATAATGGCGTAAAGTAAATAATGGATTATAAACGGTTAATAGCTTTCTTAATGGGTGCAAGTTTATCTAATTTCGAGCTTTTGAGGTTTGGTTCTAAACATAAATTTTGCAAAAGATGAATGCAGATTTTCTTTATACAGAAAACATGAAGACTTTACTTCATAAAACATGAAGACTTTACTTCATAAAACATGAAGACTTTACTTCATAAAACATGAAGACTTTACTTCACAAAACATGAAGACTTTTTTACTTCATAAAACAACTTCTTGCAAATTTCATTTAATAAAACTACATCGTTTTGCTCTAAAGCAAATCGTACATTATAGCAAATGTCAAACATAAATTTAAAACACTTAAAGAATTTACAATGCTAAATATAAAGTCCTTATGCATTTTATTGGTTTATCTTTTTTTTTCAAGTTGCATAATTAATTTATAGACTTTTTATATCTAGATCCAGATCAAATCAGGCGGACTCGTTACTTAGTTCTCTACTACTTTAGGCATAGTTTAACTTTCGTTAGTTAAAGTGATTAAAAAATTCCTTTATACCGAGATTAGATTAGGCAAACCTTATTTCGCCTAATGCACGAAAAAACCATTATGCCTAATCATAGTTTATAACACTCCCGCGCTTATCGCAGTTAAGGTGAAGTACCCCAAGAAATTACTCATCAGCAACGCCCTAACCGTGAGTAAAAAAATAATATGCCCGATGAAATTTTCAAATGTAAAGTAAATTACATCTTAATGATAATAATATTTCTCCTTAGGTGGCCGCCTAATGTGCTGAACCCTAGATCTGCCTCTGCACTGTGTGGTTAGCTAATTATCAAAGCTCAAACGTACAAAAC